TTGGTTCGGTAGTAGCGTGTTGATTAATGGTAGCATATTTATATTTTTTAGGTATTGTATTAGAGTGTTGTGTATGTATTTTTTGTTGAGGTCAAGATTAAAGTCTCTGAGGATAATCGGTTTGATCTTTTGTTTATTTGCTTGTTCTGCCCATTCTATTATTTTAGATTGGGTTAAGTTGTTAAGTTGTTTGTTATTGCAGGGTAGGTATATTGCTATTATACAAAATTGGTTTTTGTGTGGTAAGAATATATCAATGCTGAGTGCTGTCTCTAGATAGGTTTGTATATTATGTATATATGGTTGTAATTTTTTGTGTAGTGCTATTGCAACTCCCATGCTTGATTCTTGTTTTTTGGCTGTTGTTGCTGTAATATTTGATGTATAAAAATAGTATGTCTCATTATGTAGTTGTAGGTTTATATATTTTAACTCAGCAAGTTTGGTTTCTGTTATGCTTATTATATCTATATTTTTCTTTTTGCAGTAGTCAAGCCATAGTTGTCTTTTGATGTTATCGTTGAGTCCACGTATATTGTGTAAAGCTAAATTAATAGTGTCTGTTTGTATGTGGTTGTTTGTATTGTGTATGTTAGTTGTATGTTCATTTTTGTTATAGTTTTTTGAGCTTGACATAATTAGACGAAGATGTCCCAAGTTGGTTTTGGGAGAGGAGGAAGTTCTAGTATGTAGTCTGGGATTTGTAGTATTTCGAAGTGTTATTGAAGTATTGATATCATGAAGTTAATTTTCTTTTGTTGTTTAATAGATATGTTGATGTAGATTTCATCAGTAATTTTTTCAAGTGCTTCTTATAGTTCAACTAGGTTGTTTGATATTGTTGGTTTTTTGTTAGTTTTGATATCGTGAATTTCGTTAGGTGTGATAGGTATATTGATCCATTCTAACGGGATGTGTTCGAAGTAGTATTCTTCTCTAAGGAGTTTAGCTGTTTCTACTAGTATTCTAGATGATGTAATAGGTACTGTGATATTGAATGCCTTGATCTCTGTCAGGTCTAAAGATAGTCTTGGTTTGTTTGTAGGGTTGGCTGTCAAGATTGCTTTGTTTATAGAGAAGATTATTTTATATTTTGTATTTGCCTCTTTAAAGAATTCTTGTGCTGTTTTGTCATCAGTAATCAGATAAGTAAATTTGGTGTGTAGTTTAATTTTGCTTGGTTCTTGTGGTAATACAGGTTTTTGTATGAAGAAGTTATTTAGTATGCTTCTGAACTTGTAGTATTTTCTAAGTGCTTCTGCTATGTCTCTAATATTTGTTTCTTCTAGAGATGGATCGATGGAGAAGAGGTGTCTAACTCCACTATTTAATTCATGGTAAGTTAATAGTAGAGGTTCTCGTTCTGGTGGTAGAGCAAAGTATGTTGCAGGTATTTTAGTAACGTTGTAGTGGTCGATGAGTTTCTTTTTGTAGAATCATAGCTTTTTTAGTTGTTTTGGATCCGTAATAGGAAAATAGATTTTTAGTTCTTCTTTTAGTTCTGATGGTTTGTCTAGGAGGTTTGATAATATAGTGAAGTAGGTGTCTGGTAGGCTTGGAAAGTTAAAAATTACTCTGAGAGAGTTAACAATTGCTTTTGTTTGAGATCTTTGTTTAATTGGTAATTCGAAAGGTAGTATGTTTTTGGTTTGGCTGTCTATTTCTTCAGGAGTTTCAGGTAGTTGTTGTCGTTGGATGCTGTATGCTTGGTTAACTGCTGTTTAGATTTGTTTGTAGTCTGTGATAGGTTTTGCATGGATAAAGTTTCGGCTGTATTTGATTATCTGGTATGCCTTGCTTGGTGAAAGTTGTTTGAAGTTAAGGTTTGTAAGGTATTCTATTATTAATTTTTGGCACAGTTTGTGTTGGATTATATCTCTAGTTTCTTTGTTTGTTAGAGTGATTTTGTTTTTGTCTTTGTATTTAGTAATAGCTGCTTTAAGTAAGTTAGTAAATTCTTTTTGGTGTGCGGGTGTGGTTTGTCTATTTTGGATGAAAGATATAAAGAATGCAGGATCTAGATATTTGAATTTAAGAAGTATAGCTTTTGGAATCTAATGTTGTGTGGGTTGTGTTGTTAGTTTGTATTGTATAAATTCTTCGATGCTATTTGTATCGTCAAGTGCTGTAATTATTTTGTCTATTGGCCAAATCCTGTAGTCAAACTTGTTTTGGTTTTGGTTATCTAGTTCTTGGAGTATATGTTTAATCCAACTTTGTGTTTGCTTGTGTAGTGCTTCTTCATCTATTTGCATTTGATATTGTTGGGGGATATTTTGTTATAGTACATAGCTGTACGATTTTTGTTGGGTGTTGATGTTTTGGTTTGCTGTTTTATTTTGGTCATGGGTTGTAGATGTTGTATTTTCTATATCTATCTGCATAGCTGTTGTTTTGGAGTTGTTTCCTGTATTGGATGTTAGATCATGTATTTTGTTTGTTAATGACTGTATTTGTATATCTGCTATATTTGTGTTATTTTGTGTGTTTGTGTTTCCCATGATTGTTGTATTGTTGTTGTTGTTATTTCCTGTTATGGTTGTTGTTGTGTTGTTTTGTATAATGTATGATGTCATAGTGTGTTTTGGCAGAGGTAAGCTGTTTTGCCCACTTTTTGTCAATTTTTTGTAAGTTGTAGAGATAGGTATATTGTTGTAGTGGCATCTTTTGCTTTGGGCAGAAGTTTGTTGGTTGTTGTTTATATTCTGTGTTTCTTGGTTGTCTATACTGTTATCTATTGATAACTTGGATGCATACACTGGTATATATTTGTTATTTTGCTCTTGCAAGCTGTTTTTCTCTACCAAGTCCGTTGAGGACTGGTTGTTGATGTTTTTAGTTTTCTTGTTGTATTTTTTGTACTGTTGTTGTTTTTTGTTATGTTAGTTGTTATATCAGTTGTTCTCTTGCGTTTTGTATTAATTTTGTCTATATTCTAGCTTTATTTAGATCTTTTTTAAATATCTTTCTTCTATATTTTGTTAATTTTTGTAATTTTAGATGATCATTAGAAAGAGTTTTTTTTATTCATACAATAATTATTATTATATGTAATTGATAATAATAATAATAATAATAGTGTTCAATAATATGTAATTAATTTGATATCAATATATATATAAATATATATATATATATATTTTTTTTTTTTTTTTGTTTTATAAAATTTTTTGTTAAAAAAAAAATTAAAATAAAAATAAAATATATGTAAAATGAAATAAAAGCTATCTAAAACTAAAGCTATTTTGCTAAAAAAAAATAGAAAAAATGAAACAAAATATTATATTAACTAATAATTATAGTAGGTTCTCATAAAGATCGATCAAAGTATAATTTTAAACGATTAGCATTAATTGTTCTTTTTAAAATTTTATCATCTATAGAACGAAGTTTGTAAGCTCCTAGTGCAATAATATTATGAATATAATAAGGTCCTTTCCATTTTTCACTAAATTTGTTACTATGTACTTTGGCTTGTGCTAATTGATATAATAAAACCTTATCCCCAATATGGAATGGAACTTTCTTGACATGCCTATCATATTTTTCCTTTTGTTTTTGTTAAGCAGATTCAATATTTTGCTGAGCTTTTAACTGAACTTGATGTAATCTATTTGTAACAAAATCAATATAACTTTGAAGCTATTGTTCATAAGGAGGTTCCTCAGCATTATTAATAGGATTTAATACTAAGTCCAAAGGTGTTACAGCTTTTTGACCATAAAGTAATTCAAATGGCTCATATTTAATAGTGGATTGAGGGATAGTTCAGTAGGCAAATAGAGCAGCAGATATAAAAGTATCTCAAGAATCCTCATAGTCACTAACATACTTTGCTAAAATTGTACACAAAGTTTGTTAAATTGTTCAGTTAATCTATTAGTTTGAAGATAGTAAGCAGAAGCAAGATGATGCTTAGTATTCATTAGTTGACAAAGCGAATCAACTAAAGTGTTACAGAAAGATTTTCCTTGATCAGACAACAGTTTCTGTGGACATCCATGATGAACAATAATTTCATTATAAATAAACTTAGCAATGGTAGTAGCCTTCATATCAGGTATGGCTTTAGCTTCAGGCCATTTTGTTAAATATTCAGTAGCTACTATAATATATCAATTTCCACTAAAAGTAATTTTCAAAGGTCCAATAATATCAATTCCAACTCGATGAAATGGAACTGAAACAGGTAATGGATGTAAAAATTTATTTTGTTTTGTTCCTCCTTGCTATTGACAAGTATCACAAGTTTGAATATAGTTTGCAATACTTTTATGCATTTTAGGCCAATAGTATTTGTTTTTAGCACGATTATAGGTTCCATCAATGCCAAAATGTCCAGCAAGGATATCAGAATGTAGACTATGTAGGACAGTAAGTAGTTCAGATTCCTGAACTACACATAATAATTTTTGTGATGACCCTTTTGGTTTCCTATATAATTGATTATTTTCAATAATATAGTGTGTTGCTTGTTTTTTAAATTGTTGTTGTAAGTTTGGGGTAATACCGAAGTTGTTAAATAGTTAATAAAGTGGTGATAGAGTGTAGATTCCATTTTGGTAAAAGTTTTTAAGTATTTTCCTTAAGGTGGATTCTTAGAAAGACAAGAAAGTGCATCCACATTAGAATGAACTCGACCTTTTCAGTATATAACTGTGTAAGGGTAATCAGCAATTCGTTATATTCATCAAGTTACTCTTTTGTTAGAGTTAGGTTAGTTTAATAACCAACGTAAAGCAGAATGATCTGTAATAAGTTCAAAAGATCTAAGATAAATATAAGGTCGAAAATATTCCATTCTCTATACTGCAGCAAGACATTTAATTTCAGTTGGAGAGTAATTGATTTTAGCAGAATTTAGAGACCTGCTAGCATAAGCAATTACATGCTCATGATTATCATCATCTTTTTAAGCAAGAATAGCACCTAAACCCTGATAAGAAGCATCAGTATATAAAATAAAAGGTTTGGTAAAGTTAGAATATTGGAGAATAGGTGCAGTTGTTAATTTTTCCTTAAGAATATCCATTGCTTGTTGACAGGTTCGGTCCAAACAAAAGGAGTATCCTTTTTTAACAACTTATTTAAAGGTTCAACAATTCGTGAAAAGTTTAGAATAAACTTTCAATAATATGAAGCAAGACCAATAAATCTACGAAGTTTAGTAAGATTATGGGGTGCAGAATAGTTTTTAACTTTATCAATTTTTGATGGATCTGGTGAAACTCCATTTCCACTAATAATATGTCCCAAAAAAGCTAATTTCTGTTTCCAAAACAACACTTATCCCTTTCTAATTTTAGTACAGCATTTTGAAGTTGTTTAAAAACCTCTTTTAAGTATTCCAAGTGCTCCTCAAAGGTTTTTGAATAAATAGTAATATCATCAAGATATACTAAAATAAATTTATTTTTAAAGTCAGAAAAGATTTTATCCATAACTCGTTAGAAAGTAGCAGGTGTATTAGTTAGACCAAAAGGCATAACATTAAAATCAAACAACCCATATTTAGTAATAAAAGCTGTTTTTTCACGATCCTCAGGTTTTACTTCAATTTGCCAATATCCACTAGCTAAGTCAAGAGTAGCGAACCATTTTGCACCTTTAAGAGTATCCAGAATTTCATCAATTCGTGGTAGAGGATAAACATCTCGTTTGATAATTTTGTTAAACTTTCTGTAATCAATACAGAGCCTAAGTTTACCTTTTTTTTTTTACCAAAACAACAGAAGAGGCCCATGAACTTTTTGATGGAGATATAAGCTTATTTTCAAGCATCAAAAAGAGTTTTTGTTGGATAAATTCATGTTCAGCTGGAGACATATAGTAGGCCCTTTGATAAATAGGTAGTACATTTTCAGTTATAATTTGATGTTGGTCAATGGTTGTTTTGCCTAGATCATTCATTCCTTTGGAAAACATATGGTCATTTTCAATTAAGAATTGCTGTAGTTGTGAGTTATTTATAGGATGAAGGTTTGTTTCCTTAAGATCCTCCTTAGTAGCAAAACAACTTATTGCTTCCCTCACTTGTATACATTTTGAATATGCTTTTTGTGGTTGATTACAATAACATTTTATAACTCGAGGATCACTAGTTTGTTCAGAATAAAAATTATAATTGTTGAAAGATTCATTTTGATATTTAACTTGGGTATTATTAATTTCAAGTATAGGTTTTTCATCAGAATTTCCTATAACTAAGAATCCTTTAGATTCTTTTTGTTCATTATCAGATGATTCATATTTATCCTCACTAATTTCACTAGAATTAGTTTCAGTAGATGAAGTTTGGTTATTTGAGTCATTGAACTCAGAAGAGTTTTTTAAAGGAATAGGTTCACTATTATTATATTGTGGCTTTTCCCAATATGTAATAGGTAAAATATAAGATTTGTTGTTCCAAGTAAATTTAAATTGTCCTCTTTTTAAATCAATGATACCTTGTACTTTGTTAAGCCAATTGATTCCAGCAATTATAGCATAACCTTGGGCATTATTTACTTCCATATCAATAGAAATGATAGTATCAGATAATTGAAGAGGAATATTATTAATAATTCCTAGGGATCATTTTTTTCCACCATTAATATCAGAAAAATAAAGATTAGATAGTTTTTCAATAAATTTGTTTAATTTGTCAGCAAAAGGTTTTGACATTACACTTGTAAGTGATCCTGTATTCAGAATTAAATAAAACAGAGTTTTATCAATACTGGCATTACAGTAAACTATATCCACAGCTTCCTTAGGTTTTGGTTGTTCATTAGTAAAAATCAGTGAGGGTGCTGATTTAAACTAATTTTGATTATTAATAGAATTAGAATTATTGTTCTTTAAGATATATGATTGATTATTGTTATGAATATTATTATGAATATTTAATGAAGAAGTAGAAGGTAGAATATTGGAAGAAGAATTTGGTTGACAGGCACTACTGCCCTCACAGTGTGCTTTTAGGAGTTTAAAGATTGTGCTAAGTTTCGAATAAAGCTTTGTAAATCCTCAGCAGAAAGTGTATAATATGTGGAATGAGTATTTTGATTATTTGAAGATGGAAGAGTTTGTGATTGTAATTGGGGATTATTCCTTGGTAATTGTCGATTGTTATTATTAGTTTGGTTATTATTATATTGAAAGTTTCCTCTCCTTTAATTATTATTATTAGAGTTGTTATTGCTATTCCTTTTATAACAATCATGTGCACTATGGCCTTTTTTATTACAGATTTGACACACAATTACATTTCGTTGAGAAGAACCATTATTTTGATTATTATTTTTGTTATTGCAGTTATTATTATTGTTATTGTTTTGAGAAGTATTAGATTTAGGTTGGTTTTGCTATTTAAGATAGTTTAGAACAGCTTGGACAGCTTGAGAAACTTCATTATTGGCCTGATGATTAACAAAAATATTAGAACCAAGATGATGAGAAGAAGGAGAGTAATAGTTAAGATATCTTTTATTTAAAGAATATGAACCAAGAGGCATTTTTCAAGAAAAAGCAGCTTCAGTAGCCTTGGCATGAATCAAAGCCTGAGCTATAGTAGTAGGACAGGAAATTTCAACTAACTTCCGAATTTCATTTCTTAATTCATCAATAAATTGTCGTAATTTATCCTCTATTGGATATCGATTATTTGGATCAACTTTTTGATATGAATGCTCCAATTCAGCATAATAATTCTCAACAGTTTCACTTAGTTGTTGAACTCGAGATTGAAGATCAGCAAGCCATCGAGATTTTTGATGTATAGTACAAAATTAGAAGTGAAATAGATAGACAAAGGATTGATTTGGCTTTGATTTATTTTTCCAAAACATAATATTACTGACAACAGTTCTCCACCAAGATTGTGCTGACCCTTTTAGATAAGCAGGGGCAGTAGTTAACATTTGAGCTTCCTGAATATTATTTACAGAACATGCAGTTTCAAATTTATTTAGCCAGTATACAGGATCCTGTTCCTCTCCTTTAAAGACAGGAATTTGAACATGAAGAGATTCCTTTGAGAGTTGTGAATGTCCTTTTTCCAAAGCTTTAACCAAACGGTTAAAGTGATAAAGAACTTGTTGGGCTTGAGGCTCATCAGATATTGTTTCCTTAGATAGGCCTTCAAATTTATAAGGAAATGAGTCATCCAAATGAACAGATGGTGAATCCTTTTTGCCTAAAGATGCACTCATAAGTGGAATATTTGTTGAAGTTGAAGTTGATACAAAGGGAATATTTGTTAAAGTTGAAGTTGACACAAATGGAATATTTGTTGAAGTTGAAAGCATAGGCTGTGAATTTAGAACAGGTAAATGATAAGGTAATGTTAGAGGAGAGTGATGTATTGGTGAATATATATAGAGAGTTGGTATAAAGTGAATACCAGCTCCTGTATCCTGATTATCAACAAGAAGATCATTAAAAGAAGCACTATTATTAATATACATTTTATTCAAGCTATCATTAAGGTCTATAATATTATCATTGTTCACCATATAATCATATTGATTAACAGCAGTTTCCTATAAATTATGAAGATTTTCTATATTGTTATTTTGATAGTAATTGGTTAACTGTTCCTAAGATCTAGAATTTGAAACAATAACAGACGAAGAAGAAGAAGAAGAAGAAGAAGAAGAAATAGAAGAAGCAGAAGAAGATAAACTAATGGTTCTCTTGTTTGTGCAAAAGAATAATCTGTTCCCCAAATATTGTAATTCGAGGTAGAGCTGTGCTCATATATAATAAATATTTCTCTTTAATTGGAAAGATTGGTCCTGTCATCATTGCCAAATTGTAATAAAATTTACTAAAAACTAACAAGCTTTAGCAAATCTTAAAGAAACAAGTGTCAAGTGGATTTAAAGGAAATTAAAAGAAAGATAAAAAAAATAAAATAATTAATCAGGATTTAAATTCAATAGCCTCCTAGATACTATAAGGAGTTAGTAATAGGCAATTGTGTTTGGAATCAAACCTATTGTCCAGTTTGTATAGGTCGGGTTTAGCAAAATGCTTGCCTTGTACAAGGATTATTAGACTTAAAAACTTAGAAATATCTTGAGATATAACCAGAGAAAAGAAAGCACTAATAACCAGACTGTCGACAGCTATATGTGGCCTTTAAATCCTAATAATACAAAGCTAGTATTTGCCAAAATACTATTTAAGAAGACAGCTTTCACTTTATATTATTGACAAAAAAAGAGCAAATTTTATTAAAAGAAAAGATAAAATAGATAAAAAAGATAGATAAGGAATAGTTTTTATTAATAATGTCAAGAAAAGATAAATAAAATATAAGTTTATTAAAGGAATTTTTAGGTAGAGACTACTCTGCTTTTTAAAAGGACAAAAAGCTATCCTTTTTATAGCTTTTTAGACTAATATTTGATTGGTTTTAAGGCTACCATGTGTTGTAGAATATTTTTAGATACTCCAAACGTTTGGGAGGTCTTGGAAATATAGAAAATCCAAGTAGAATCTCCTAAAACACCAATAAACAGCACTGAGCCGAGCTAAACCATGTTTATCAATACTTGGTGCTCTATTACTTAATAAGTTACATATTAACTAAAAATAAAACACATATCATTGTGTAGCCCTTATGTTGATCTACAAATCCTATTATAGTAGTTGAATATTTAGAAGCCTTCTTAAATGTGTTGTCATATAGCTAACTAAAAATAACTATAATAAAATATAAGAAAAATATAGAA